CCCTTCCTCTTCCCAGTTCCCTCCCCGAGGGAAATCACTCTAAAAGGGCCTAATGGAACCAAGTCCTCTTCTCTTCCTCTCTCCTCTCCCTCCCTCCCTCCTTTTTTTTTTTTTTTTATTAGCATTTGTGGAATTTATTCCCAAACTCTCCTAATCTTCCGTACACAACCATTTGATTTGCATAACCCAACCCCCTCTCATAAAAACTGGCTGCTGGTTTAATTAAAAAATGTAAATTTGCTGTCATCTCGGGGCCTGGTGAATTAGGACGACATCGGCATTTTTTATTGCTAAAGACGTCCAGATTGATCCAGCCCTTGGCTGAACTATGGTAGTAGAACCAGGGTCCACATGGCCCCTGAGGGTCTTGAGGTCCCGCCATCCCCTCCCGAGAAGCCATGGTTCTCCCACCACTGAATTACTTATAGTCAGATGCTTTCCTATCTAGACATGTCCAGGGCAATGTTAGCCAGTGATCCAATGCTTGTTGGGTCTCTGGTGCCAGGAACCCTCTGGGGCTCGCATCTCCAGTCTCATATGGAAGCTGCCTATGGTGTCCTCAAAGGAAGAGAGACCGATGCTGTACCAGCGATAACCCCTGGCCAAAGAAGAGGTCCCGGCCCTGCCTGTGACCAGGAGCATGTTCCAGAGGTTGAACTCCTGGCTCCTGAAGATGGGCATGGAATCAGACCAGAGGTGGGCTCAGAGCAGATATGAGTTCCCACCTGCTTTTCTTTTTTTGTGAAGAGGGAAAAAAGTGCTTTTCTTTTGAAGTTCTGAGATTAAGTGAAACTTGTAAGTTCAAAGAGGAGTCTGAGATTCAATCACCACATGACTCCTCTAGGAAACCCTCAGCACTGTGACACCCTGGACCTCCCCTCCTGAGTGGTCAGAGTCTAGACCTAGGTCCTGCCAGCTCTAGCCACAAGAGGAACCAGGTGACCTCAGGGGCCCTTCTAGCTTCTAGGAAAAGTTTTCAGAACTGTCCCCAGGGTGCCAGGAGAAGTCAGGTTCCCCACGGCCCAGGAGAGATGCCACAAGAGGTTCTGCTACTACTTCCTGACAGGCCTGGGAGTCCTCCCTGCACTCGGGGCACCCCCCAGAAGAGTTTTGGAATCCTGCCCCCATGGCACACTTGGAGGGATTAACTAGAGTAGGGTGGGAGGATGGAGCCAGCTCCAGTTGGCACTTCTGGACGGCAGAAGAAGATGAGGGGGGCTTTCCTTACAGTTGAGTAATTCCTGGGTCCCCTGTGCCTGCCTGCAAGCAAAGGCTTGCTAGCCCAGGTAAGGGGCAGTGTGTTACTGCTCCAGTCCATCTCTAAGGTCTAGTTCTTAGCTGGGATGGGTGGGGGCCCCATTTCCAAAGAAAGGGGGTGGGGCCTGAGAGGGAGGTGATGAGGCTCCTGATTAGAGGCAGAGGGGGCTGGTTCTTGTGGGAGTGGAGGGGGGGCAGGTGGCAGCAGTGGCCTGGGACACCTTCATCACTTTGCCCAGCAGGTGGTGTCACACCCTTCCTGGGCACAGGAATCCTGAGCAAGATTAGCCAAGAGTGCATCTTGGGGGGCTGAGTCTTAAAACTCTATGAATGACCTCCTCCCACTGAGAAACAGTCTCCTGGAATCCAGATTATGGAGGTCCATGGAGTTCAGGTGACCCACCCAGGCCACTGCCCTGAGGTGACCTTTTGACCCTTGAGCCTCACTTGAGGACACTGGTCTCCTAAAAGTCACCTTTAAGTCTTACAATCAGTAAAGACTGTTTTGCTTTCAGCACTGTGCTCTTTTGAAAAATTCAGTCAGTTTTGGGCGGAAACAAACTCCAGGTCAAACTAGAAGCTGTATTTTAGGGTAAACTGTTACTATGGTAGTATTTTCTGGCCCCACTTACAAGGCAACTTCCATAGATGGGGTCTAAGAATCTTTGGAAGTTCTTTTCTCTTTGGAACATTTTTGACTTCGCAGTCAACACGTTACTCTGATTTCCAAATTGTATATTCAACAAACTTCAATCAATTTCTATTATTTATATATATCCATATACTATTAATATTTTTGTTTTAATACTACTAACACATTTTCCCTTCCTATAGCCTGCCACCGTATCACCTACCCTGGCCCTTCCAGTGCAACCTTCTTCCTACTCCCTTTTGACCTCAGAAGGTCAGAGGTCAGTTCATGGGTCCACCACAGTTGTCCCAAGGACCTATGCCGTGAACTTGGGCCTATTACAAACAACAACTCTAATAACCACCACCATTACCTATGCTATAAATGAAGCAGAAGGGTTCAGAGGTCAGACTCAGTGAATTATCAATCTGTTTATTATTGACTCTTTTTTTTTTTTAAATTTTGAAGATGGAAGTTTTTGACAGCCTATGATCTAAGGGCCATGGTTAAAATTTGGTTGCAATAGAGCGTGGCAATGGGAAGCATAAAAAACTTAAAAGAAACCTCACTCTGGGCTCAGATTGGAACTCGAGATGGGAAGAGAAGGGAAATATTTAACAAAATCAGATTGAAACCAATAAAACACCACAACCTCAGGATCAACTCTGCCCCAGGCCAGCGCTGTGCTACCTGAAACCCTAACTAGTGTAGGTCCCCCAAACTCAGACACCTACTGTTAATAGTTTGTCTGGTCCACCCCTGTCTCAGGATAAGGGGCTGCAAAGGGGGACGGAGAGAGAATTCAGGGCCCCTCACTTTGAACTGATAACAGCCGTCTCATCCCACGGACTCTCAGGTGAAAAATACTCATTAGCCATAATAAGCAGCTTGATCATCCAACACAGCCTTGTCCCAAATAAATTAAATTCCTTTACCTTGAGACAGTCGCCCCGAAACCAGACTAACCACCTTTCCCAACAGGACGCTGCTTTCAAAAACTAAACCACCCCCCACTAAAAAAATAAAAACACACACCCCATAGCCAGACACACAGAGATCTTGCAAAGGAAACACACACGCACACACACACACACACACACACACACACCACGGAGCACAAAAACCCCCACCAAAAACCCCTAACTCCTCTCTCCAGTTGCCCCCCAGCTTCCTCCCCCCTTGCTTCTTTCGTAATGACAAGCATCAAATTAGTCACAGCCAGTAAGCAAGTACCAAATAATAACAATCGTATCACCGAAGTCTCTCCATTCAGAAACCAGGGCAAGCACAGGCTGCCAGCCCTCGACCCTCCCCAAGCCGCCCCCACCCGAGCCCAGCTGCCACCTCATTGGGCTAAAAATAAGAACTTCCGTCCAAGAACCGAAAGAAAAGTGAAAGAACCTCCCGGGCTTCCCACCGGCCGGTACCTGTGCCGAGATCCATTCTCCTCTCTTTGGTCCCAAACTCTTCGAGGAACGCCCGAAAAAGAAAATCAGAAAAGAAAAAGAAAATCGTTTTAGTGGTCCGCGGTGCCTCCATAGTCCCCATCCCATCCCTCCTCCTGATTCGTCTCCCCCCCGCCCCAATCGCTGGACGGACAGATCCCCGGAGCCCAGGGGACCGAGAAGGGCACGGAAGGGAGCGTGCGAGCAAAGGAGGGCCAGAAAGTTTCTTCCCTGTGGCTCGCTCGCTCGCGCGCCCCAGCATTGCACACGGAGCCGCTCTACCGTACTCGCGAGTTTATTAAACTAAAAGAGAAACTATAGACGCGGCCTTCCTGGGGAATCCGGCCGGGCGTGGGGGCTGGGGATACCCGCCCAGCCGACCTCCCCGTGCCCCGCACCCTGTGGCCTGTCGGCCGAGAGCCCCAGCGGCCCCCCGACTCCCCCCCCGCCCGCGCCCGGTACTCACCATAGTCGGAGAGTCGAAAGCCGAATTCACTTAAATAATCAACTTTCATAATACTTAATTAATGCCTAATTGCAACTGATTACTCCCCGAATAACAAGTTGTTTTAAAACCCTGATGTCATTGCTCCTGACGGTAACACTCCTGGTAACAGTTTGGCAGGAGGGAGGGGGCGGACGGGAGCGGCCGGGGGCGCTGCCAGGCGCCGAGGTGATTGGCAGGACGGCCGGCACCGCCTTCTCGGGCCGGGC